AGTAGTGTCTCTCAACCTTAGCAATTTTAAGATGTCATTCTATCACTGATCTATCATATATCCACTGGAGTCGGGCAGCCAATAAATTTAAATAAATAAAATAAAATAAATACAAATACAAATATATCCACTTTAAGAAATTGCTCAGTCCCCTCCTAGTATATACATGGAATTCTTTTTAATCCATACATGGGCATTAAATTGGGAGTATGTTCCCAATTGTTGCCCAAGAACTTTTTCAGAAAAATAAGCATTCAAGCTAAGCACTTTTTTAAAGAAAAGTGAGTAATATCCCATTGAATTCAGATTAAAAGAGACACCCCCCCCCGCTTTTCCTCACCATTCTCAGCAATAGTTCTCCATCCAGTAACCCGGCAGTTTGAATTTGGGGGGAACTATATTGGTGAGTCTGGAAGGTTGGTGGGGATGATGTTAGTGGTGCAATTCACAGGAGACTTTAGTGCCATCAAACTGATATCTGCATCTTTGATATGGTCTTTGAAGTCAGAATGGATGATAATCTGTTTTACATCAGAAGTTTCCATATTGGGAAAGGGACTTGATAAATCAGAGACACCCAACTTTATTTTGAATCCGTCACAAAAAGGCCCTGTTTCTAGAATACTTCATACAATTCTACATAGGTACATACAGCAGATATGGACAGTTAAATCCAAAATGTTTATTTTTTTAAGAGTTCCTGTACTGAGACTTAAATTTATGATATATAGTAATCTGTTGTGTGAAAATGTGTGTGTGTGTGTGTGTGTGTATGTATAAGAGACCATTGCCAAACATGATGTGCAGTGAAAAAATCTTAATGAATACTTAACTGGAGTGGCTGGCTGGAGATCTCAAACTTCCTCTCTCAAAAGCCCTCTGGATCTTCACACCCTGGCTTGACTTCCTACGTTAAGGGAAGTGGCTTACTAGTTCCTCCTGTCAGGACCTATCTTCCAGGGAGCTTCTCACCTTGCATCCTCCCCCTAACCTTGGTGTGTGTGAGAGAGAGAGGGCTCTCACAACTTGTGTAGCCTTTCTGATGATTAAGAAGTCAAAATGAAAAGAAACCCAAAGGAAATAGTGTAGCTTCCTGGGTATTATAGAAGTATACAGCTGGAGGATTTGGTCCTTCCTTTCCCTCCTCTGCAGGAGATAAAATTAATCTCACAGGAGATAAACAAAATAAATCTTTATTAGAAAAAAACCCTTTTAACTCTAAATATACAAAATGCAAACATTCAGTGCTGAAAGAGAGAAATACCAGTGGCTTAAAAATGCAACAGCAAATAGAATACTCTAAGCAGACCAGAAGATGCTACAAATAGTAAGCTCTGGATCTCAGAAGAGAGTCTGCAGAGATTATAAAGTACATTTTAGATCACAAGAACATTCTCAATAAAGTTCTGGACATCCTCATGTCTAACCTGAAAAAGGAATAAAAGAAAGTTGATAATAAACCGCATTTCCTATCTCGTACAGAAAAATATAAACAACTAAATTTAGCACCACATAGAAAACAAATAAAAAGTCTAGTGAAAAATCCTGGCTAAATGTTTACCAACTTCTACAGACAACATATGAATTCTTGAATCAGTTGTTCTCTTGATTCTGGAAGACATTAGCCATTTATCAGATGCTGTTTGGGGAAATGTTACTCATTTCAGCAATTTCTCCCCTGAGTTCTTTCTCAAGTTCTGCCCTTTTGTTTTTAAAAGGATCCAGTTCTCTATCTCCAGCACAGGGAGGGTCTATTGTAATCTAATTGTACAGGGTCAATAGACACCCTTCACTCAGAGATGTGGATTAACCTGACACTGTGACATGCAAATTGGCTGGCTGTCAAAGTTACACTTCACAGCCTACACGTTCACAACAGTAACTAAACTAATGCAACATTAGGACAATATATACAATTTTTTTGCTTAGAAACATTGTGGTGGCTGAATTTTGTAACAGAAGCAGTCTCAGTTTTTTTGGAGACTATCTTTAAAGTCAGTGGTACAGAGACTGGATGTAATCAGTATAGGATAATTTTGGTCGCAAAACAATCCTAAACTGATAAAAGGCAAGGCATTCAAAGCCATTGAATTTACCTGCAATTCAGGGAAAACAGGTAGTCCTCGCTTACTGACTGCCTTGTTTAGCAACTGTTTGAAGTTACAATGATGTAAAAAAAACCCTCTATGATCAATCATCACATTATGACTGTTTCAGCATCCCATGGTCACGTTTTGCAACCAGAGTGCATTTATGACCATTGCAGCCATGTGATTGCCATTTGTGTGCTTTGCAACTGGCTTGTGACAAGCAGAGTTAACAGAGAAGGTGGAAGTAAAATTGTAAGCCGCAGTCACGTGATGTTTTGCTTAAAGACTGAAGGGGAAGTGAGGACATAAGCCGGTTGTGGTCACATGATTTTCTGCTTAGTGACTGCAGTGCTTATCGACAGAGTTGCTGGTCCTAATTGGAGAATAAAAAGGAGAACTGCATCACATCCTTACCTTGAGAAAAACTGCATTTCCCTTGTGGTGCAACTCACCTTGGACTGACAAACCGTAATTAACTCTTAATAAATAATGGTAGGAATTCCCAATTTGTGTGCTTAATTCTTATGGAGGGACCAAATTTTAATTTTTTGCAGCAAATGATCAGCCGATCCTGTATTCAGTGTCCACTGTTTAATTCTGCTTTATGATTCTGCTGTTGAGAATCCACAACAAACCTCAAGCTGTTGGAGTTTAATTTTCTTGGCATCTCAAACTTTACTGCATTTTAATCCCCACCACTGTACAACAGGTACGATACGGAAACAAGGTTCAGTTTTAGATGCTAAAATACTACCAACAATAATTATTCAATTTTAAGCTCTCGCTTATGTGCAATTAAAACCGAGGACAATTCTAAAGAATTGGGACTGTGGAACTGTGGAATCTGATTTCCTGTGAATTTTTCATTTATGGTTTGCATAAATGTAGACTATGTGAGAGAAAGTGTTGTTCTGGTAGACCAAATATTTTCTATCTAAAATGCCCTCTTATGTATGTATTTTGCACAGCATTTTCTGCAAGCTATTAATATGAGATATGTTAGGGTTGGCCTATACTTGTAACAGAATCATGCGGTAAGGCTTTTAAATATTTTTTTGATGGAAACTGCTGTCCCCATAAGTAGCAGCACTTTGCACATAGAAAATTAGCGTACATTCCTGGACATCAGTTTGTTCCTGATATTCAGTTCAAGTCTTTTTCTTTCCTCATACTTTGTTGCATACATTTTGCTGAAATTGATATTACCTTTTATTCCCAAGGCAAGACTTCATTTTTCTGAAGGAGCCTTTTATCCTTCATAGTGTCCTTGATTTTGTTTATTAATCCTACTGGAGACCTGTTCAACTTGGTATTTCTGCTAAGTCATTAGTATACATTCTGTGCATATTCCACATATGTATTTATACAGTAGTGCACATTCTGCATGGAAAGGACAACACAATTTCTATGTATCTAAATACCCCCAAACCAAATAAATTTAATTCACAGTTAACTGTGTAATCACCACGTCATGATACATTACTACAGATATGAATGCTTAGAAAAATTCAGAAAGCATTCCCCACCCCCATTTTTGCCTCCCAAGCCTATGCCCTCCCAAATTTTGGAAAGCATAAAAAAGTCCAATTAGAAATTCCTGCCAGGTTTACAATGTTCAAATCCCAACGAAGAAGAATCTCGTGCAACCCAGGTTAGGTTCAAAAATATTTCATTTATTGGAACAGTACATGTAACACTAAGCAAAGCACTGCTGAAACTAAAGCCCGTTCTTTTCCCCTCTTTGCTTTTACCCCAAATTCTCACCCCCCTCCTCCTAGGTGCCTTCCACATTCTTATCTCCCAATAACAGTCCATCTTCCTGGCCTTTGAATTCACACCAATTCCTTCTACTTTCCTTCACCCCCCTCCTAACGAATGGCAGAAACGAAGCAAGCAACTACTAAGCTAATATTTTGATTGCTGAAGGTTCTGACAATTTCCATTTTAAATAATGAATAATACACAGTGCTAATTTATTATTGTCCTTTGTTCTCCCCCCACCCCATGATTTCTATTAACTTGTAACAGTCAAAGGAATCAGAGTGACTACAATTCCTTTATACAAAGTATGGCATAGTTCTCCAAGGGAAGAGGAAGAAGGCACAGCCATTTTCACCAAGAAGTACAAATCACTCAGTGCCTTATTTGCCTGTGGGCCGGTCTCCTGCTGAATTTCTGTCAACAGGCTAGTGGATCTGCTTGTGACAAGGTTACAAAGGACAGAAGAAATGCAAAGAAGTGCCAGAAGAACATCTGAAAAACATTTTTCTTTAACGTCAGTGAGGAAGTATACTTACTGTCTGATTAAATTGTACTTTTACATTTAATAAATGTCAAACATGATGTTTATAAGAGTAAATCAAGTTAAACATAAGATACAGTAGGTTCTTAAAATAGCAAAGTGAATTTAAATCAATAAAGAGTCCTATAAAACGAATATTTGATATACTTCCATTTTCCCCAATTTTTTTCTATTTTGCCCCAAGGGGGAAAAAGTGTTTCTGTGTGGTTTAAAAACTTCCAGAACATTTACATCTCTTCAAATTATTTTAAAAATAAGATGCCTTGTTATATATTTGTATTATGACCTTCAAATACTACTTTTAATATCATGGAAAAATGTCCTAATATTCATGATACAAGAAAACCTTCTCAGCGTTTTCTCTATGTGACAATTTCCACTGTTTTGGGGAGCAGGCTCTATTGGCACAAATCCTGAGCAATATGTTCTGAAACAAGTTAAACCAATCAGCTGGAGGTGGGGTTCCTGGAACATCTACCTTACTGTTTGTGGTGATTTGGAGTGCCCTTAAGTAGAGCTCACCATTCCCTTTCAGTTAACCCGGTGTTTTTCAACCTTGGCAACTTTAAGAGGTGTGGACTTCAACTCCCAGAGTTCCCCAGATAGCATATGCTGGCTGGGGAATTCTGGGAGTTGAAGTCCACACCTCTTAAAGTTGCCAAGGTTGAAAAACACTGGGTTAACTGACAGGCTGAAGGCAAAGAAATATCAAAGAAGAGCCAGTCCAAGGGACAATAAAAGGACGACTAGAGCGGGTACATTTTGCAGTCCTCCATTTTTTTTCCCCTCCATTGTAGTTTTGATCCAGTCAGCATAGAAAGGCACTGAAGTGTAGACCCCAGGGTATACGTCACTGGCACATCCAACTCCCCAGCTCACAATCCCAGCCTGAGTCCACCTTCCTTGAAGCTGGCAAGCCAAGGGACCTCCCGAGTCACCCTGGGGAAGAAAGACATAAACAGAGAGAGGGGGACATTGATATGTATGTGAATGAGCTGAACTAGGGTCTAAATCTTACCTCAGCCAATTATTTCTCAGGCCAATCACATTCTCACTAATTTTAGCCACTACAGGTAATCCTCATTTATAGCAACTGCCTTGTTTAGCGACTGTTTGCAGTTATGAGGGTGAGGAAAAAGTAACTTTGTGACCAATGTCCGCATTTACAACCTTTGCAGCATCTTTCTGTCAGTCACATATTTGCCGTTAGTATGCATTGTCCTATGTAAAATTGCAAGCACAACAGTGGTCACTTAGCGACTGTTTTGCTTAACGACTGAGTTTCCAGTCCCAATTGTGGTTGCTAAACGAGGTCTACCTGTATCTGTAATACTGGGAATAATCCTATGCATTTGTTTAATTAAAGTTATTGGAACATTGACAGCTGAAGGCTCTTATCAATTTCTAATGCCACCAAATGGGTATAGAATTCCATACATAGAATTCTATGCTTCCTCAAACTATGAGGAATGGACTATCAAGCTATACTTCCTCAAGCTATGAGGAACGGACTATACTACTTAATTCATAAGTAGTATTATAAACTGCTAAAATTGCACTGTATTGATTATGACCTTTCCAGATTACATAGATGGAGTTGTTAGTCAACTGGCATGTATAGTCATCTGCAGTGGCCATGCTGAATAGGCCATGCTCAATTTCAAGTAAATATTTTTGAAGAAATTGGGAAAAATCATCCCAAAATCTTTCATGAGGACTCTACCTGTTGATTTTTGCAAATGCATCTAAACTGATGCAACATAAACATGGATTCATTTTCTGTTCTCAGAAAATGTTCTCTCTGGCTTTGTTACTGCAAAACAGTAGAAAAATAAAGAATGCCTTTCATTGGATCAGCACTATTTTAAAAGCATGGGAAAGAGCTTCAGCTGAAAAATTGACATACATATTGTACAGCAATGACAGGGGCAGATAATGTGGCATGCAAGTACAAAGAGGATGAGGCTTGCATTGTGGCATCACAACACACATTTTGTCATTTTGATGAAATCTCAGCTTGTTGCAGACACCCCTGAATGCAACAACAAAAGGCTTTGAAAAATCATACAATAGATGCATTTATTCAAGTCAGATCCCCATTTATTGGCAATATTAACATTGCGTTTCCTAATTGTAATTCCTAATAGATTACCTTGATCTGAATGAATGTTATTCTGGACAGAAATATTGAATATGGATATTTAAAATGTTTCTACTATTTCTTAAGTTCACAAATATATGTGTACTTACAAACGTGAACACCCCCAAATTTTGTTCTTTTATTTTTTTTTTGCCTCAGTTGTTTTTCATTTTATCATTGTTTTTTCTTTTGAATGTTGTATTTTTTTTAACTTTCCTCTTTCCCCAAAATGAAAAAAAATAAAAACAATTGAATGAACAAATACTTTGTAACAGACCGGAATACAGATTAAAAAAAATACATAGGTAAAATACTGATAAAATGGTGGCAACGACAGGAATAAAATAATAAGGAACCAGTCTATGGAGACTCTAAAAAATTTAAATGAGAAATTACACTAATCCAGTTGGGTTTATAAGAATGCAGTGCATCCTTGTGGCCGTGAAAGAAAATAAGATGTGTAATTGTCTCAGTTTTGCCTGATTTGGATGGGCAAAACCTCTGAGAGATGATATGCATCTACTTTCTAATAATGCTGAGGGGAGAACCTTAGATAGAGTTCTGGAAAATATGCATCAATAATTGAGACAAGTGAGACTAACTAAGGTGCTACAAAGAATTTATGAAATTCTCTGAAAGGCTGAGAAAACTTTATGTCCCCAGTCTGCTGCTTGGTGACAACTTTTGCCTCCTCAGCTCTTGATGATTATTGATGCTCAGGTGAGAAGCCACTGGAGAACAATTTGCTTGTTTGTTTGTTTGTTTGTTTGTTTATTTATTTATCTTATCCCCGCCCATTTCCCCCCAATGGGGGACTCTGGGTGGCTTACAACAGATTAAAACAATAAATAAATATATAGATAAAATTTATAAGAAAACACATTTACACTTATAATACCCTTCCACTGCTTTGACCCATCATTGTCAAGTTATATGAATGAGGAGCTAAGTCATGGTTTATCCAAGGAATAAAGAAACGATTAAAACCAACCATTGAACACTGAATTGAACATTTATGCAGATCAAGGTAATCTATCAACCCTATGATTCTATTAGGAAATACAGTGTTAATGTAGCCAATAAATGGTGATCTAATTTGAATAAATGTGGTTTAAAAAGGGTCCTTTTAGGGCTTTTTGCAAAGTGGGCAAAGAGGTTAGGATCTTCACCTCAACAGGGAGGGCATTGCAAAGAACTAGGGTGCTAAAGAGCCTCAATTTGCTAAAAAGACAAGCCAGCAACAACTGTCAGTGAGCCCTCTCAAATATGTCAGTGAGAGAGGGTAGGCATCATATAGAAAGAATGACCTCTCAGTCCTTGTCTATCATTTACAGTTTTAAAGATTGTAACCCCAAATTATCATAAAAAGTATAACTGCCATGCCATGATAGTGTGTTTTCCATACATCCTCATGTTACAGAAGGAAAGAGGTAACTGAATTTAACCCCGTAGATGTAAGAAATTCAAGAACCAATATGGAGCATTGTACCTGACAGGAATCCTTCCCACTATCTGGAGAACCTGCACAGATCATATCATGCTTGATAGCACCCTTGCCCAGGCCTGGAATTGGAAACTGGTTGTAGAGCAGGCTGCAGTCTCTCTGGCTTATGAAAGGCACTTTCACTTCCTGGAGAGTGAGCGGAGGTGGTAAGTTTACTGTGGGAGAGAGGAAGGAGTTACAATAACGAAGAGGATAGCAGTTCGGAAATATCCTGGTTGGACATGCATCTTTTTAGCAATGGGTGCACTGTATAAATAGGCACAGCAGGATTTGGTTAGCTGTACAAAGTTGTGCCCCAGGCAAGATGGGGCTAAATTTGCTCAGCAGATTATGGTAAAGAAATTTGCATTACATTTCTCGAAAGCCCAAGCATGTAATGGTTGGGTTTCCATGGTTCTAAGCCAGTGTTGTCCAAACTTGGCCACTTTAAGATGAGTGGACTTCAGCTCCCAGAAT